CTCAGTGAATCATAAGAGTGTATTTGTACATTTTTTGGTACCTGCATAATCTATTATGGTTTATTATTAAATGATTTATTACATTAGTAACTTGTTAATACTCAATGGATAAGTAATTTTCCTCTTTTGAAGATTCAGAATAAAGATGGTACTTTGATATGCTGTTTTTGTTTTTATTTTTGTTTTTTAACAACAGCTTTTTGCCTTTGAATGCTTGTTTTGCTTACATCTCCATGAAAAGGAACTAATACAGTTTTTAAGCAAAACAATTCCTGGTAGGCTATTAAATACACATTGCAAGTCTGTGGAATATTAATTAAATATTTGGTTTCCTTTTTAAGATTTGGCTCCTAAGGCAAATGCATTTTTCTACTTCAGTTCATTCCTCATTGCCATTTTACATTCCATTTGAGGCATGACTAGCAAACAGCAGGCAGCTCTTTCTTGTCTGAATCCTGCAAACTATGCTCATACACATGATACCCATAGAAAGGCTCATAGCATTTCAACACAGGAGACCCAACTTTTGATGCTGGCTTGCACAAGAAAAACAATTCTTGTTTCTTGTCATTTTGCTTTTTGCAGGCCAAAATCTAATGCTTGCTCCACTAGAATTTCAGGTCCTGAAACTGAGGGAAATAGAATTTAAATAAATTTCCTGGTAGCAAAGCTATAAACTTTGACAATCCTACATTGGCTTGGACTTTCACTGTTTAAAATACACAATGACAAAACACTTTGTCAAAAATGACATAAAGCAAGCACAAGTATTTCATAAGAAAACCTTTGGCCCTATCAAAAATTTTCCCCAATTCAGCTCATTTTTATAAGCTTAGTATCAGTTATTTTTACTGATTAAATTTTCAGTGCTAGGAAAATTTTTACTTTTAACATTCATTGGCATTAATGTTAGTTGAATTTAATGGACTAGCATGCTGTTATGAATATGGTTATTATATTAACTTATTAGCTAATTTATAGTAATTTTATATTTAGATCTGTAAAAATACATAATTATATTATCTATCTCCAAAAGCACATTCTCTCTGAGGAGATATAAATATGTATTTTCAAGCTAGTTGTGCTTAAATACAGCTGTAGCCTCCAAATAACCATATGGAGGCCTATCTATATTTTAAATAGCATATTTAACTAAATATGAAAACTGACTTGTTGCCAAGTTTTTAGCATTATTATGTAACTCTGCTTTTTACTTATGTATTTATTTTAATTTCATATTATATAAAAGATGAAAATTGATTGCCTAACACAAGACCAAAAGATTTACATCTGTTTCCTTCTGTTTTATAATTTTTATAAAAACTTATATTTAAATATTTTATCCATTTTAATTTTTGTATATGGTATGAGATATGGGTCCAACTTGAATTTTTTTAAAATATATTTTATTGATTTTTTTTACAGAGAGGAAGGGAGAGGGATAGAGAGTTAGAAACATTGATGAGAGAGAAACATCGATCAGCTGCCTCCTGCACACTCCCCAGTGGTAATGTGCCCGCAACCAAGGTACATGCCCTTGACCAGAATCGAACCTGGGATCCTTGAGTCCCCAGGCCGATACTCTATCCATTGAGCCAAACCGGTCAGGGCTTGAATATTTTTTTTGAAATATAATTTTATTGATTTTAGAGAGGAAGGGAGAAGGAGAGAGAGATACATCAAAGATGAGAGAGCACCACTGATCGGCTGCCTCCTGCACGCCCCCCACTGAGGACCGAACCCACAACCAAGGCATGTGCCCTGACCAGGAATTGAAGAGTGACCTCCTGGTTAATAGGTCAATGCTCAATCACTGAGCCATACTGGTTGGGTGCCAACTTGAATCTTTTGCTTGTGAGTTTCCAGTTGTTTCAGTGCCATTTGCTAAAATGACTATTTTTCCTCCCATTAATGGTCTTGGCAGCCTTTTGAAAAATCAACTGACAATAGCTATATGGGTTTATTAATAAAACAATTCCATTTACAGTAGCACCACAAAGAATAAAATAGGAATAGATTTAAGCAAGGAAGTGAAATACTTATCCACTGAAACCTACAAAACACTGTTGAAGGAAATTAGAAGTGAATAAATAAATGGAAAGACATTATATTGTTGTGGATTGAAAGACTTAATATTAGAAGATTTGATAAGGATTAGTATTATGAATTCTTTAATCATTTTGTAGAATTCACCAATGGAGCCATCTGGTCCTGAGCTTCTTGTTGTTCAAAGTGTATAGATTACTGATTGAATCTCTTCGCTATAATTTACTAGTAGAGTCTCTATTTCTCCTTGAGTCAATCTAGTTTGAGTTTGTATAGGTATTTGTCCATTTCATCTGAATCATCTAATTGTTGACATATAATTATGCATAATTTTGTTATCCTATTTATTTTCAGAGTAATGTCTCCTCTTTCACACCAGATTTTAATAATTTGAGTCTTCTCTGATATTTCTTGATTAGTCTAGCAAAAGAATAGTCAATTTTTTCAATCTTTAAAAAAAAACAACTTTCCTATTCTATATTTTTACATATATATTTAAACAACTTTCTACATGCAATACTTAATGGTAAGCACAACCAATAACTGAAATAACATTATTCTCAAAATGACTGAGCAGGAAGCACTCCTAGAAACATTGTCTTACATGTGTCTTTAGACACTTGTCTGTATGCATACAGACATAATGGTCAGTCCAGGCTATAAAGTCTCAAAAATAACATTCTTGTCAATAGGCTGTGTAAGAAAATATTTAAACATCTTTTTTCATGTGTTCAAACATCTGTATTCAAGCACATCTCCACGTGTTGCAGAATGGTTAGCACATCCACTCGCTAAAACATTTTTCCATTCTATATTTTCTGTCTGTTGTAATCTTATTATTTCCTCTTTTCTTTCCGTTTCTTTTGCTCTTCTCTTTCTAGTTTTTCATGGTGTAAGACTAGAGGCCCGGTGCATGAAAATTCAGCCCGCCCTGTGCCCTCTAGCAGTCCGGGACGCCTCGGGGGATGTCTCCTGGGGAGCAGGCCTAAACTGGCAGTCAGACATCCCTCTGACAGCCCAGGAGGCCCCGGGAGATATCCAATTGCCGAGGAGGTGGGAGAGGCTCCCGCCACCACTGCTGCACTCACAGCCATCAGCCCAACTTGTGACTGAGCGAAGCTCCTCCTGTGGGAACGCACTGACCACCAAGGGGCAGCTCCTGCATGGAGCGTCTGCCCCCTGGTGGTCAGTGTGTGTCATGGCAACTGGTCGTTCCTGGTTGTTCCACTGTTAGGGTCAATTTGCATATTACCCTTTTATATGGTGTAAGATTATGTTAACTTATTTATTTTTCTTTAACGTAGGCTACACATTTCCTTCTGAGCACTGTTTTTGCTGCATTCTACAAGAATTGGTATGCTGTTTCACACCAAGCTTTCATTCATCTCAAAGTTTTCTCTAATTTCCTCTGTGATTTCCTCTTTGACCCACTGGCTATTAAAGAGTGTCTTAATTTTCACACATTTATGCATTCTCAAATTTTCTCTTTGCCATTGATCTTTCATTGCATGACACTGTAGTTGGAGAACATACTTGGTATAATTTTAATCTTTTAAATTTTATTGAGAATTAGATTATGGCCTAAATATGATCTACCTTGGAGAATGTAGCATTCGTACTTGAGAGGAATGTGTACTCTGCTATTGTTGGGTAGAATGTTCTACAGACATCTATTAGTTCTAGATATTTTACAGTATCACTGAAGTCTTCTGTTCCCTTGCTATTCTTTGTTTTGTTTATTCTAATTATTGTCTAACATCAATTCATTTCAGCCTCAAGGACTCCCTTTAACATTCATATAGGGAAGGTCTAATAGTTTTTATCTGGGAATGTCTTGGTTTCACCTATAATTTTATAGGCAGTTTTACTAGATATAGAATTCTAAGTTAACAGTTTTGTTTTTCAAACACTTTGAATGTATCATCCAATGAATGCCTTCTGGCCTCCATGGTTTCTGGTGGTAAATCAGGTGTTAATCTTATTGAGAATCACACATGATGGTTAACTCTCTTGTTGTTTTCAAGATTCCCTCTTATTTTTTGGCTTTTGATAGCTTATGATGTGTATCTGTGTATCTCTTTGAGTTATTTTACTTGGAGTTTGGTGAACTTTTTGGAAAAAAAAAATATATATGTATATATATTTTAATGTTTTTTAATGAAATTTGGAAAGTTTCCTGCCAATATTTCTTCAAATATTCTTTCGGCCCCTTTCTTCCTCTCTTTTCCTTTGGAGACTCCCATTGTTTGTATACTGTTGATGATATCCCACAGGTCCCAGAGGATCTGTTGTGTGTTTTTTTCCATTACTTTTTCTTCCTGTTCCTCAGACTAGACAGTCTCAATGATCTACCTTCAAGTTTATTGATCCTTTTTCCTGCCTTCACAAATCTGCTGTTGAGCTCCTATAGTTAATTTTTAAAATTTCGGTTATCATTTTCAACTTGAATCTTCACTTGTTCCGGTAAAGGCCCAGAGAAAAAAATACAGCAAAGTTCAAACAGAGTTGGTTTTTTTTGCCAGGTAAATACCTCTCTCTGAAGGAAAGGCTGGCATGCATTATCTAAGGTTATACTTATGCCACATCAGAGCAGTTCAAAATCCAAACTATGAAGTATATGGAAAAAGAAGTGTTACACTAATGGATTAACACTTTTAATCTCCTTTTTTGACTTAGATCTCAAGATCATATTAATACCACATTCACCACATCAGCCTTCCATTGATTATCTCAATTTGACCCTATACTGTACTTCCCTTTCTATTAGTATACTTTCTAAAAATACTTTAATAAAATGTATAAAAATACAGCAGATAACTGATCTAGAAATAGATTTGTATTTTATTTCAGAAAACTAGGTAAAAGGTCAAAATATGCTTTTTTTGTAGAAAACAAAGGAATTCACTAATGCTAAGGCAGCAATCTTTTTCTCAGTAAAAATAAATTACATAAAATTAAAGCTCTTGATTTACATCATACTTTATTTTCTATCTTTTATATATCACACAAAGTTATTGAAGGAAAAAGTCTAAAAATATACAAAAGAGATGATATATAATCTTCTTGCTCCAAGAGAATCATTTAATATAAATAATTATAAATTTCAGAGAGATGAATAGGCTATGTCCTGCAAATACTAATTTGTTATGTATATTTTAATATAAGTGTTAATTTTATCTTACTACTTTTCAAAATATCTTAACCTAGTCAACTTTCCTATGCTTTGGTTTTCTAATTTATAATTTAAGACTTCTTTTGGTTGATTTACCAGAAATTAAGATATTTTGCTAATAAGTATTCTCAAAATCTTATTAACAAAGCAAGGTCACATGAATCACTGAAAATTTTTAAAAAAAAATACACAGTGATTTTGAATATTACTCATAGATAAAGTTCTAAAGTGAGAACTCAAATCATTCTTGGTAAGGGGCCACCATGGAGATAGATATCAATTAATGTCAATTAGCAATTGCTACTCTGGCATTTTTCTTCCACTGTTAAGAGTAGGTCATTATTTCTTTGGTTTGAACATCAGACAAAATTTGTACCTGGTTGAATTTATAGTTCACACTGTATAACAAATATCTATCTTTAAATACTAGAGTTACATGCAGCACAGAATGCTACACACCTAAACCCCATTCTAAGTGCTAAACTTCACATTGAATTAAGCCCAAGGCATACACAGAGTGGAATCCACACTGTTTAAATTATTTATTTCCCTCTCCTTTCCCCCTTTTTGCTGAGTGTATATTTCTGCTCCTCAGTTTAAGTGCACCTACTCACATAACTAATGAGAAAGCAAACAAATCTTTAGGTAAAGAGACATTTGTTAGGTCGTATCCTCATACTAATTCTTAAATCTAATTTTTTACATATAGTTAATTTAAAACTAATCTTGTAAAAAAAAATCCCTCTAACTTCATCTACTACATACAATCATATTCCAGAATAGAGGGGACACTACAGAGCTGGAGAGGTAGCTAGCAGCTAACAGAGCATCTCTACATAGAGAGTAGAAATGGAGCAACACTAATTCAGGTCAACATACTAGTACGTTACTTAATTCCACAATATTGTGACCAAAGAAAGTAATTATGGGGACTTACAATCTTATGACACATAGAAAACTGTAACTATCAAATTTCAAAGTAAAGATTAACACACTAAATACCAAGAAAACCTTCAGTGTTCTAGGGATGCAATACTTTGCTAACATTCAAATAATATAATCAGGAGAGAAGTGTCTGCACTTGCTGCGGCGATCGGTGTAGAATGCTCTCTGGATCTTTGTATTCATTGACTGGATTCATCACAGCAGTATACACTTCACCATAGGCTCTGCAGACTAATTCAGTAGACTGTTTGATGATCTGCTCTCTATTGATAAACAAACAAAATATGAAAAGATAATTTAAAAATACTAAGAATTGTAAGAAAGCTTTACATTTGAATTAATGCATTTCATTTTCATAATTATCATATCGATAAAAAATCATTATACTGCTACAAGTTACCTATCTCGGTTTTGGGATAAAAAATTTATATTTAGTATTTCTTTGTTAAATTTTCCTGATTAGTATGTAGGTTTCAGGAAGGCATGGACTGTATTTTGTTCACTGCTACATATCTTTTGGGCTGGAACAGTGCCTGATATATAAACAAGACACAGAAACTGTGACCCACCATCAATGTATTGATTTTGCAAACACAACTGATAACACATTAAAGAAAGGCTTATAATTATTCAAATTGATTAATACTTCAAATCTCAGAAAAACTTAAAATAATCTGCCTTTTCACTTATACTAACAGACCTTGTTTTATTGTGTTTTGCTTCATTGTGCTACATAGATGTTGCATTTTTTTATAAAATGAAGGCAAAATCAACTCACTTTATTGTGATACTCTTTTCATTGCAGTGGTCTGGAACTGAACTCACAATATCTCTGAGGTTTGCCTGTAGCTCCTACACCAGTGATGGCGAACCTTTTGAGCTCAGCGTGTCAGCATTTTGAAAAACCCTAACTTAACTCTGGTGCCGTGTCACATATAGAAATTTTTTTGATATTTGCAACCATAGTAAAACAAAGATGTATATTTTTGATATTTTATATATTTAAATGCCATTTAACAAAGAAAAATCAACCAAAAAAATGAGTTCGCGTGTCACCTCTGACACGCGTGTCATAGGTTCGCCATCACTGGCCTAGGGTGAGTGCCCTAACCTCTCTGAGCCCTGGCAATGCCACCTGCAGGAGAGGAGAGCGGGTGGCTGAGGTTTGAAATGACGCAGGGGCTGAGTAGACAGAGCTCAGTCTAGGATTCCTCGGTTTGGCAGTTACATCCGAAATCCCAGGAATTTTCGGCCTTGGCCGTATGTAGGACTCGCGCAGTTGGGAGAGCCGGGTGTTAGCGCTTCTTTCCTTTGCAGCTGAGAACCAGTTTATCCTTCCCCCTCCTCCTGCCCCGCGAACCCTCCTCTCCTCAACGGTGCCTGGAGAACCTTCCCAGCGGCCAATGTAGACACACGACCAAGGACACACAAAAATATACCCAAGCAAGCACGTGGTGGCTGTGTAGACAGTTGGGCAAACACAGACACACGACACAGGTTGCTGTGAACAGGAATAGAGCTTCCCAGCACCAGCAAGAGGACTCATTAGGTGGAGCAGCGGCTCTGCAGGCACGTTCACCCCGAGCGCAGCTTCCAGGCCTGGAGTTGGCGAACTGAAAGCCCGGGATAATTAGAGCTAATTACATGTGTGCAAACAGCTGCAGCGGAGGCCGAGGGCGGGCAACCGCTCCCCCGGCCTGCCCCCTGCGATCCCGCCCCAGCAAAGGGCGGATGCCTGGAGGCACCACAGGACCCGAAACAAGTGACTTTTCTGAGCTTTCATTTGCACGTCCATACCGTGCATGCCTCCTCTGAGAAGTGGAGTCCAAGGGGAAGGAGAAAGGTGTGAATTCCTCACGTGTGAATGAGGCTTTATACATTGAACTGCTAGTCTGAATCAGTTATCTAATTTTGTGATTTCAGGAGCCTTTGGCAGGTTGGGTTTGATTGGTGGTGGGGTAGGGTTTTATATTTCTGAACAGGCCCGGTGCACAGGTGGGGACCGCCCGGGGCCAATTGGGGCTGGGCTAGTGGGGGGGAGGGGCAGCGGGGGACTAGCTGGCTGGCCCTGCCCACAATTGGGATGTTGTGGGCCGATCCGGGCAGGGCCGGCTGGGGAGGGGCCACGGGCAGTTGGCTGGCCAGCCTTCACCCCCCGATTCAGATGTTTGGGGGGCCAAATTGGGGGCCAGGCCGGCGGGAAGGGGGTGTTGCCGATTTGGGGCCAGGATCAGGCCAGTTTTGCCTGCCCGCAGTGCCACGTCATAGCCCACCAGATGTTCCGACGTTCGGTCACTGGGCTTTTATATATATACTAAAGAGGCCCGGGTGCACAAAAGTTTGTGCACTCGGGCGGGGGGGTCCCTTCAGCCCAGCCTGTGCCCTCTCACAGTCTGGGACCCCTCAGGGGATGTCCACCTGCTGGCTTAGGCCCGCTCCCCAGGGGATCCGGCCTAAGCTGGCAGTCAGACATTCCTCTGGCAGCCCGGGAGCCTTGGGGAATGTCCACTTGCCAGCGGGGAGCAGGCCTAAGTTGCAGTAGGACATCCTTAGTGCTGCTGAGGAGGAGGGATAGGCTCCCCTCCCCCTCGCTATGCTGGCAGCCATCAGCCTAGCTTGTGGCTGAACAGAACTCCCCCCTGTGGAAGCACACTGACACCAGGGGGCAGCTCCTGCATTGAGCATCTGCCCCCTGGTGGTCAGTGTGTGTCATAGTGACCAGTCATTCCCAGTCGTTCTGCTGTTAGGGTCAATTTGCATATTACCCTTTTATTATATAGGATAGAGGCCTGGTGAATGAGTGGGGGCCGGCTGGTTTGCCCTGAAAGGTGTCCTGGATCAGGGTGTGGGTCCCACTGGGGTGCCTGGCCAGCCTGGCTGAGGCGCTGATGGCCGTTTTCAGGCTGGCCATGTCCCCCCGGCGACCCAAGCTCCCAGTCTCTCCTTTTCTTCTTTTCTTTTTTTTTTTTCTGGGATTTATCTATCTTCTATAATTGAAACTTTGTAGCCTTGAGTGGAGGCCAGGGCGGGCCAGGGCAGGTGGGAAGCTTGGCTTCCTACATCGCCGGGGGCAACCTAAGCCTCCTGCTCGCTTCAGCTCCGTGGCCGCTGCCATCTTAGTTGGGTTAATTTTCATACTCGCTCCTGATTGGATGGTGGGCGTGGCTTGAGCATAGCAGAGAGATGGTTAATTTGCATGTTTCTCTTTTATTATATAGGACTAGAGGCCCAGTGCACAAAAATTTGTGCACTCGGGGGGGAGAAGGGGTCCCTCAGCCCATCCTTGTGCCCTCTCTGCAGTCTGGGACCCCTCAGGAGATAATGACCCGCCTCTTAGGCCTGCTTCCGGGTGGCAGAGGGCAGGCCCAATCCCTAGGTCTCAGAGCAGGGCCGATTGGGGAAGTGTCGCTGCCCCCTGTCATGCACAGAGCAGGGCGGATCGGGAGGTTGGGATGCCACCCCTAGTCATGCTCAGGGTACGGCCAATTGGAGGGTTGGGGCACTA